GGGTCCTTTTCTCGCAGTCATTTGTACACAACTAACCAAATTGTAAGCCATAGTGTTTGTTATACATTTTTAAATGATTTAAACTGGCTATTGTATGTCAAAAAAAGTTACACGAGTGAACCTTAAGCCTATATAAGCCACAGACATAAGCAGTACCAGACATTACAATTTATTATGCACATCATCATTCTGCAAGCCCATCCCCAACATGCAGGTTTACAGTCTTCACATCTATGATAGAATCATGATATCAAGGCTTAACACAAAGTTATTGTTTAATTCCATCTTTGGTTAATTATTTCTGTTGCAAATTGAATTCTATGAAATAATAAAGACAACAGTAATCACATATGGACGACAACGTTAACTCATAATGACAGGACTTCAATTAATCTTTCGGCCATTTCACCTCGGATTTAGGAACCTAAATTCCATGAAATGACCTTCTTAGCATTTCCAAAGGAAAGGAAACTATTAATGTAAAACACTTAGATAATATCATATATAGCTGCTATTGTCACCCATTCATCCTGAAAGCTAGAAATTCCATAAAACGTACCCTTCTTGTTGATGTTGATAGATGAATTTCAAGTGAAATCTTCAAGGGTCTGTGAAAATGCAGTGAAGAGCTTGCAAGGCGGATAAGCAGCAAGGAGTGCTTGGAGTTTATTACACATTAATGTTAGGGTCTTTGTGGTGTTGTTCTCTGCATACACCATGTGATGCAAGATATGATCTCATATTTTTTGAATAAAAATATGATTTTTTTCAATCATTACTGTATCTTTGTATAGGTCCTGGTATGCAATTTTCATTCGTTGTTACTATTGAAACATTTTAAAAACCTTTCCAAGATGTTTTATCTACGACGTTTTCCCATAATCTAGCCAAATCGTAAAGGTAACATTTTACAATAACTTTTAACTGTAACATTTGTAAAAAAGTTCTGAAAACCTTGCTGCATTGTTCTTTTCTATCACAAATATAATGCCACCTTACTGCAATGTTAAGAAAACGTTTTGTGTTTGCTGGAAAGGGCCTTGCTAGCATTATGAAGTATAAGTGTAATCTTTTTGTCTCAGGGGCAGAAAAAATGTCAGATAGGACTGGGGCTAAATTTTTCTACCGGGCCTATTGTGATTGAGACTAAAGATTAAGGTAAAAAGTAAACCTCAATATATGCTTTACTTTTGGAGAAAATGGAAAAATAATACCCACTGATTTGCAATACTTGTCTACAATATTAGATGTTTCTTTAATAGAAAAAGTAGTGCTCTAACACATTTTCTAGCCTCTTTCTTTAAAAAGGGTGTGCAGTACAGTCATAAACAGGGTAAATATTTGCCTTGGATATTGCTGAACGCCCCTGTTGCCTCACGGTTCAGAGTTGAACGACCAGTAGTACCAAGACTGCTTTTGTGCAAGATTGTGACAACAACTGTCACTTTGCCGCGCCACCTTAACTGCTGGACTTATTTGAAAGTTAGGAAATATACAAAAGTAGAGGAAGAGGAGTCGAACAAAAAATATCCGTAGATGGAAATTTTTATTGCACAGCGTTAGTGCCACTCACTCAGCTGGAGAAGCATGGATCCAGTGACACAAAAAAGGACGTCATGGTTGGATATTTCCTTGGCTGTAGTGAATGACCATGACGTCTTTGGTGCCTCGTAATGCTTTTCATGCTTCACAGTGTTTTGCAGCACCATTTTCGTGGCCATTAAATCAAAGCTGATTTCATCTGCCTAGGCTACCAGCAAAATATTCACATACTAGGGATAAACAAATATCTACTTCACTAGGGATAGGAGACCTGTTGTCTACCCTCACCAGATTTATCCCACTGGTTGAAGAGAATTACTGGGGATGTGGCCATTGTCACATGCAAACAGCTACTTGGAGCCACAGGTTAGAGATGAGCGCAGGTTAGAACAAACACAAATGAACTACTCTAATTGGAGTATGATGTATTTCCCCCACATTACTGTATGTTTATTGCTATTATTAATTGTCTCTTTTCTATTTTGATCACTAGATGACAGCATGGTATGGTAATTAGATACTTCCAAACATAACACGTAATAGTAAACACTAACAGCTAAAAAAAGGCCAGCTGTTTTAAATATTGATGATATTGCACTAATTTTGGTGCCATGTAGTCCACATCCTGCCACTGTTCAACATTTTACATTTTAATAAGACAGTTTTATGAGGATTTCGTCATAATAAATCAAATCTTCAAATTGAGAAAAAGTAACGAGAACAATAAATCATAGTAGCATACCTTTAAACAGATAGAAAATGCAATACATTGCTGAAAACTGAAAAGTGATGGCACCTAGTTTTTTATCAAGTTTCTGTTGGATCTGATCCCAGTTACAGTGTTTATAGACTTGCTATAAGGTTTTATTAACTTTTTTTTACAAAAACAATATTTTTCCATTTAAATGGTGCAAGAATGCTGTGACAAACCGGTAACAACATATCTAACAAGTCGTGTGCTCTTAGTTTGTCTAGACCCCAGCAACCAGGCAATGCTGAAGAAGAAATACGGCCAATTTTGGTAACCTAATACTATATATGGTAAGTAAAGAATTTTGTATTTTAAGCTACATTTTTGTTTGCTTGTTTTCGCCTACTGTCCATACTAAATTTATTCTTTGCTAACCAGTTCTGCACCTGCATGTTTTGGGAACTTTTGGCTTTGCTGCTGGATATCAAAAGATCTGACAAACACACCTTTACTTATTGTTGGCTTGTTTATTTTGATTTCGTACAATGTTACATGAAAGCTATCTTCACTAGCCATATCAAATTTTGAAGTGATAGAGTAGAGGGAAGGCAGATAGTCAAAATTACACACAACCAACTCTTGGGCTACTTTTGTCAAACCGAACAGTGAGATTTGACTGTTACTCTTAGAAAGCACATCAGACTCCACACTTTGGAAACGACTTTTTAATTCCTGGGCAATAATAGGATGCAAGCCAAGGAATTTCAGCTCCACAACTCAGCACGCTAACAATTGGACTGTACTCAGCCTCAGGGACTTAAAACATATCTTTCCTCGTATACTTATTTCTTTCTTTTAAAGAATCTTCTACCATTTGAGTTAGGTATTCAACTTGAAAACGTAAAGATAAACAAATTTCAATACACGTGTAAAGTTTGTTATTGCTAACATAAAATAAAGGACAACAAGGAACCTTTTCTCCCATCTATGTAGTCCTATCCGCTAAATTAAATTAAACCTCTACAAAAAAAAAAAACCTACTCAAACCTAGCTATTATAATTCAACTATTTCTCAAGTTTCCCTCAAATTAACTGTTCCAGAGGCAACCACACAGTTAAAAGAAATATCTGTCTTAACTGGAGATGACTTCTCCAAAAGTTATATTTGTGTTCCCTAGTCTTACCATTCTCACTATTAAAAATATGAAAAATTATGCATCAGTACTATCAATTTCCTCAACAATGTTAAACACCTCAATTAGATCCCCCTCTAACCCCTCTGAGATCTTAACCTATCTTTGTATTGAAATCTTTCCATCCCAGGTATCATCCTAGTACCTTCCCCTAAACTTTCCCAATAATTTATTGTTCTTTCTTAGGTAATTAGCCCATGACTGAAAACAATACTCCAAATGTGACCTAGCCAATGATATTATAACTTCTTTATACTTGTATTCAATATTTTTATAGATACATTCTAAAATTCTATTTGCCCTGACACTAACAACAGCACATTGCTTAAATGGCATAAGAGAGTGATCACTCAGAACACCGAGACCCGTTTCTTCCATAATACTGTTAAGATTTATTCCCATCAAAGTTCTACTCATAATTCAAATTGGGATATCCCACATACGTTACCTTGCATTTATTATAAGTAAGAGCCATCTGCAGGAGCATCCTTCTCACAGCCAGAAACATTCAAAACTTTAATATCATCAGCAAATTTAAATATTTATTGACCATTCCTTTATCTATGTCAACGATGTAAATCAAAATGAGCAAAGGTCCTGACACTGATCTCTGAAGTACCCTGCTTATAACGTTAATTTAGTTTGAGTGAACTCCATTTATAACAACCCTCTGCTTTCTTCCATTTAACCAGTTTTCTATCCAATGAGCCAATCTACTTCCACAACTACAGAGATAACTTTAACAATCATTTTATGTGGCACCTTGTCAAATGCTTTCTGAAAATTTAGATACACAACATCCACTCCTGTACTCTCATCTAACTAAACAGTGACCTCTTCAAAGAATGTCAAAAGATTAGTAAATAGTAAAGCATGATTTTTCCATTGGTGAAACCATGTTGATTATCCAACAAAATTGTAAACTTTGTTAGATGACTTTGCAAAGCACCTTTTATTAGACTTTCAAAACCTTTCTCACCACTGATGTAGGACTAATAGGTCTATAATTACAATTACTTGAAAGGAAAAGTGACATTAGCCAACTCCCAATCTTCTAGTACTTGCTTAATATTGAAAGACTTAGAAAAAATAGTAGCAAATGGCTCATATATCCAATTATTAACCTTTCAAACCTTTGGATAAATATTATCTGGCCTAGGTGCTTTATCATTTTTTAAAGTTCCCTATTTTTTTCTCTAAACAATGGACTATTTGTGCTCAAGTCACAACGACTATCGAAATCTGATTTTTAGCGTCGTAAGCCTACAGTCTTACCTCTGCGCTACTGTGGGGCTAAGCGTGAAGTATTAATCTGAAACAAAATCCATCTTTTACATTGAAAAATAAATGAAATAAAGTGTGGAGCCTGTAAGTGAAAATTACATTTTCGTAGATATGTGTGTGTAATTCGAATTAATCAATTAAAAATGTATTTATTTTATAAAATCCTAAAAATAAACACTATTTTATTTCACCTTTTGTTTTTTAAGGTGGTTCTCATGTACCTACGAGATTTCGACATACACAAAATGTTTCACTCTCCATTCAAATATTTGTTCTTGATGTAGTTTTTGATGACGTCACATTTTAATGGCGACCACTGTATGGCGTTTTGTGTAATAAGTAGTAGTTTGACTACTTTTCGCACTTTATTTAGAAAATATATTTGTCTAATTGTTTCTAGGTACAAATCAATATGATTATAACTCTGAAAACACTCCAGCAACAAACTTTCAAGATCGAAATTGATCCGTCAGAAACTGTAAGCAAATGATATTGTGGTTTGCTAGGTTACTCGTTAGGGTTAGGACTAATAATACTAGTAATGCATGTATTACCTGCTTAGGGTCTTACTCAGTCTGTGTAGTGTAATTTGTGTCGTAGTCAAAATGTTGAACTCGAAAATTAAGCCTAACAGAGAAATAAATTATTAACCATAGATTTAAACACGAGACGTTCAGCTGTTTATCAAGTTGAATTACCAGAATGTGGTTCTGAAAATTGAAAATCTTGATGTAAAATATACAATAGTGAGGCTGGCAATTTTAGCATATTTTTATTAATAATATTAATACTAATAGTTAATAATTCTTTTCTTGATATTCTTCACATTCTTGTTAAGATTGAAATAGTTAAAATGCATTATCTTAATTGTTTTGTTCAAGTTTATTAGACTAACATACTAAGTCATACTCAGTGTCAAATTTCTCTCAAAACTGAGAGTTAACAGAGAAATTGTGGGAAGTTATTTTGAGCTAGTCAGACTCAAGAGTTGAAATTATTAAATCCTATTCCAGAATACATTAGTAATACTAATAGTGGCCTTTTGTTCAGAAATCAATCAAGCACTTTTTAAGATAGAAGTTTTAAACGTATGCAATGTTAAACGTATGTATGCCTAGTGTAGATTCTTGGTTTATTCAAATTGTTGTACATTAGAAATTATTGGAATGATACTGATGTGCAGAACAGGCCATAGCTAATGATTAGTTTGTGAATATTGTGTTCTTTAGGAAGGATATTGATGTGCTGGATGTACAGGGTGCAGAGGAGGGTAACATATTCTAGGGTGAAAAAATAAATGTTACCCTGTTTATGAAAATACATGCTGTTCATGTATGAAGAAAGACATGAAACTTAACTTGTTTTTACTACAACTTATAACTTATGGAGAACAATTCAGTGTTTAAATTATTAAAGTACTAGTAAACATCCCCTACCTTGAAAGGTATTTGACACTGACCAGTGTATAATTCAGCTGGTAGTACGCATAAAAACCTAAATGTGAGGTGTAATTTACAGCCATACAAAATATTTAAAGTCCTTTTAGTTAAATTACTTCTGTTGAAAGCAATTAAACATAAGTTCTTAGATATAGCATATATTTACGTGAAAGGCTATAATTATCTTCGGTTGCAATCTTAGTGATTTTATAGAAAGTGAAGGGGTAACCTCAGTGAGTTATAAATGGTCATCAGTTTCACTGCATGTTGTTACAAAAAGCTGAGGACATGGTTAACAGCAGTACAGTGCAATAGTAGGCACTTGTGAGTTTTCATCACATGTTTACTTATTCCATCAGAATGTTGCTTGCTTGTTTTAATAAATTTAAAATAGAATTGAAGGTTTAAACTTTTTTTTCCGTTTTAGTTTCTATTTTGTTAACTTAATTATTTGTGATAGCTTTCTTTTTAGTTTTCATTAACTAAAAAATGCTGACATAAGTATGTTAATTGTAGTTAATTTTTAACTGTTGTTGAAATGATGTGCATTCTATCACTTCCTTGTTATGGGGGGGGGGGGAGCACTGAAGAGAAGGAAAACTGCCTAAAAACACATCTACCTCCAAGCTTTTAAGCTTGCATATGTAACCATGACCTCTAATTTTCAGTTCATTAATATTAGAACTTCTTTAAACCTTGTTTTTTCAAAAAATTGACATGCTGGTGACAGGTAGTATGTTAAGTCCCAGAAACATTTAACACATTTAATCAAGTCTTTTTACACTGATTCTCCTTCATATTCTTAATTTTAACATCAAAATTCATAATTCTGAAACTAGAAACTATTTTAGCAGTTCCTCTGTATACTTTCTTAGCAGTTCACTATGCCTTCCATCACAGAGATCAAAATTTTAAATGAATTTAAAAACATGATGCCTAGCAGAACAAGAATAGTGGCTTTATGTTAACATTCATTTTTTTCTTAATATATGTTAAAATGTTTGGCTGATTTTACTAAAAGTTTGTATAAATGCCTTATTTTACTTGTGCAACCACAGTACTTTTCCTTCCCAAATTCACATGCTTCTGATTGTTCATATTTTATATGCTTTAGTGCATTATGGGTTTTTAAGCAAAACCATTATGGTAAGTTTACTGGTTTTAAGAAATATATATATATATTACATGTATATATGTTCTTCAAACATCATATGTATGTACCCTCATGTCATCTTGATATTTTGAAAGATCTTCAATAGACACATTTTTTTTCCAGGTCAAAGTTTTTAAAGACAAAATAGAAACAGAGAAGGGGAAAGACTATCCATCATCATGTCAGAAGCTAATTTATGCTGGTGAGAAAGAGTAACTTACTTAGTTTTGTATGTTTCTTAGGTATATGAACTAAATATATGTTTAAGTTTTATTCAAGTATAATACTTTGCTTTCTTTGTATGTGAGGTAAGTAACATAACACAATGGAAGGATTAAGTATGCACAAAAATTGGTTTTATTTTTTTTAAACTTATCAAATAAAGGATAAATATGTAAACATGTCCCAAAATCTAGATTTAACAAGTTTGAAAAAATAAGCAATTCCTGTTTTACAAAAGACAGTATCAATTGTTCTTGAAGAGTCAAGGTAGCAAGTTGTGTTAAAACCATTAGGTGTAAGCATTTCATGGAAATGTGTGTGTATGGCACTATTATTTCTTAAGTTCATTTCTTCTGTACTCATGAATATATGTGAAAGGCTTTCCAGCATAACAGATGATAAAAGCATATTTTTAGTACAAGTATACTTGCATATGTGATTCATACAAACACATGGGTGGATTATCTGTAAAATTTATCTTACATGTAGCCTGGTCACAATGCAAGTGTTGTAATCAGTGCTTTGATTATGGCATACTATTGTCCAGGCAGTTAAGAACAATGAAAAAATCCAAAATGCATTTTGAAAAATGCATGTCTCATAAATTCAAGGTTCTTGGCATCACTTTCTGTAATATATTTTAAGCATTTTCAATAATTTTGTATTAGTATTAATTTTTCTCATTAATAGTGTTATTTAGAAGGCTTTTAGGTGGATTTTACAAATGACTTAGACTTTATAAAAACAATTTGTTGATTCTTTTTATCAGAAATAAAACTATTCAAAAATTGACCATAAGTTACTCAAGATTTCATAAATCCAAAATGACAGTGCACTAAATTCAAATTATTTTTGCATCTAAAATGCTGGTAGATTGTTCAAAATCACATACATTTGTAAATTAGGGCTACTTTTATCATACTAACACAAATACTCAAAGATTTAATCAAATATTTTACAGTACCTTGCTGAAAACATGTGAACTACTTGCATTGTAACCCAACAAAAACTTTATAAAAATACCTCATAAACTCTGATCTTTTATCAACTAACTACTTTTTGTCTAAGCTAGGTCTTAAAGCCTAACGATAATAGTTTTTCAGAAACGTATTTGAGAAATGTCCTGTTTTTTTTTATTTATAATCTACACTTTCAGAATGACAATATTACATCTTTGGCTTTAGCAAAATCAAAAATTAAATCAACAGACTAATATTTATTGGCCAAAACTAATTTAAATAATTAAATATTGACATGTCACTGCATATCACTTTATGTGTATACACATTAAGATAATCTAATCTTTTCAACAGAATCTGCTCTTGTAAATAAAGCTTCAAGTAACCTAAAGTGTGCTCAGTCTAAAATTATATTTGCTGTTTGCTATTAGTCTAAAAAAGCTTCTTTTTTATAGACCTTCATTTTTGAAAATAATGTTGTAGGTAAATTTGTATTACATAAATTTTTTCACCTATGCAACTTTTATCTTCTGTATGGCTGTTTTGGTAACAATTATTATATGTGTGAGGTTAATAAAAAATACTTGATTTTCAGGAAAGATTCTTAGTGACGACAACAAAATTAGTGAATACAACATAGACGAAAACAAATTTGTTGTCATAATGGTCACGAAGGTAAGGTAGATTTATTTTGTGTTGCCCATACATGTATATTATGGATTTTGTTGCTACGTTTACAGTATTTGTAGTTATCAAATTAATACATCTTTAGAAAACAAAAACAATTCAGATTTTAGAGCTTTAATACAAAAAAAAGATAATACACCTACCTATAGAGATTTTACAACTCAATGAAAACATCACAAAAAACATTGTCAAGTATAGGTATAATGAAAATTTAGTCTAAAATTGTATAGTATTAAGGTTATTGGTATTAACTGATGTTTAATGTTGCCATAAAAGCTTGCCATTGTGTTATTTGTCATACAATGGGAAGAAGGTATTCTTCTGTTTAAAGATATTGAAGCCATTTGATAGTTTTATTACTGTTTCTGCATGCATATTACAAGATGTAAATGTACTTCATATTTCTGTACAAAAAAAAAAATTTTTAATTGAAAACAACTAACAATGAATATTATTTAATCCATGGTTATTATTGATTCACCAAATATGTGAGTGAATCATCACACTGCTGAAAATAAAAAAAATGTAAAGAAATTTTCATTCAGACCTATGTTACAAAGATGAAATCTGTATATCTAAAACGTCTAATAATGTATATGATTCAGGATGTTAGTATACAGAAACTAAAAGTCTGTATATTTTTTCAAAGTTAAGCTTATTTACAAGATGAGTTAAAGAAATAACTAGCCTTGATGAGAATGGTATTTTATTGTTGCATGGCCTGGTGATGAGGTTACTTGATTCACAATCTGTAGGTTGTGGGATTGAAATCTACCTCTGAACATGTTCACCCTTTCAGCCATGGGGGATTTATAATATGTCAGTAAATCCCACTATTTGATAATAAATTGTTTGTGGTAGGAGCTGCCATATAGTTGGCACTTCAAAATTAGGTTTGGCAGCAGATAGCCTTAGTAGCTTTGCTGTAAAGAAAACATTGTTACAATATCCATGTATATATATAAAATATGAGTCACTCCTTTGTCAAATGAAAATGAATTGCACCAGAGCACAGTCATATGTTGAAAATTTTTACTGGTAATTGATTGTGATTTAACCAATCATAAATTGCCACACCAGCGTAAAGTATTTAGAAATTTCAGTAATCGTACCCTGCTTAGTAGCAGTAATAGTGTAAATCCAGTCATGATTCCTAGGACTGAAATACTACATGACAATCATGTAGAAATTAAGATTTTAGTCTGGTAAAGGAAACTCCTTGCAAAAAATCATGACAAGACCACTTGTTTCATTGGGAGCAGTACATAAGGCTGGAGAGAGTATGTGAAATTGGCACTGTTAATAACAGATATAGTTGGGGTAGAAAACTGAAACTCTCCAAAGCAGTATCAAGTATCTTGGGGAATGTTCTTTACAAGGTAGATGATCATTAAGTATTGTGAATGACCTTGCTTTAAATACAAATGTGAATGTTTTTGAAAAAAATAGTAAGGTGCAAATTAGCACAAATTGGCCTCAATGGACATGTAACTGCTGCTGATGAAAAGAGTTAACCAAACCAATAAGTAGAAATGAACATCAGAACATAGAATGAGTAAAGCTAGAGATGTGTGTTCTTTACAGATGAAACCAAGTTTATTTGTTCAGCAACAATCAGTAACAGTTTGTTGACAGAGGCAAGAGCAGTATCATGGAAGTGACTCCAGCCATGTTAGAAGGTGGAATAACATTGTTCTGACTATGTACAGGACTGAACTTTTAAACAAATCAAGGGTGTTGCCACAGCTATTCTAAATGCTGAAATGGCATTATTTTTATGTTTTAAACAGATTTAAACACGTAAATCACATTAAAAATAGAAGCAGTTTCATATCTGTTTTATATTAAGATAAATAAGCAGTCAAAAAGTGGTAAAATTCATTTTGTTGAAATGGCAAACCATAGAAACCAAAGGATGATCAGGGTGCTCATTAGGGTACCACAGTGAAGGGCCCTGGACTCTCAAATCTTTTTTCAAGAGTCCCAGTGAGATTTTCAATGTCCTATAGGCAGAATTTAGTAAACTAAAAACAAAAGGGGGAAAAAAAAAGCACCAGTGTGAATGTAAACCTTTATTTAAAATGTACACTACGTGTTTATCTTTTGCAAGTGAAAAAGAGCATGTTGATGCTCGATGAAAAACTTTTTTTACAGTTTGCATTGCATGTTGTTTCCCTTTATGAGTGCAAAGTAATTTTCATGATGAGATTAAAATTACTTTTCTTCATCTGAAAATTTTCAAGTATCATTTGTGTAAGCCCTAAAACCTTCTAAATAAATATAACGTCTTTTTTTATATTTTATCTGTTATTTTCTGTACCCAAATCTGTATGAGGTCAGTTAATTTGACTGATCTTGTAATCACTATAAACATTTAGGAAATGATTATAAATTTCCTTATTTTCTTTCTGGAATGAATGCAAATTGTAACAGAAAACCACAATTGTTTATCCTAAGTAGCTTAAAGGTTGTAACAGTATACACCTATTTATACTTGAATTTTATTGTTTTATTGCCCTTTGAACGTGTCTAACTATTAATTCATGCCATG